GTAGGAGATGTCCGAACCATTTGGTTCTTTGGTGTTGGATGTGATGCATGACATCATTTGTGCCCACCATTTCTCGGATTACTGAGATGTCTCAAAAATTTTAAAAACCCACTATGTTCAGCATTTAATGTTCTACAAGGTACAATCCTTAAGTCAAAATGGCCAAAATCCGACTTTTTGTACCTCTCTTTAGGCACACACACTCACAAATATTTAGACTTGAAATATTTTAACATCCTTTCAATATGTCATTATGAAATGGTTTAACTTGTGTCATCGGATGGAGCTACATTTTTGACAGGTACGACTTTTGTGGCTTTTTCGCCCCTTTGCTCAACAATACCTTTGTCGACAACGGGGACCTATTTCCAAGCACACACACACACACACACACACACACACACACACACACATATATATATAGACACACCAACACACATACTCACACATGCACATAGACCGCCTCGTTGGCCTCTTGGTAAGGAGTCCGCTCTGAGAGATCTAAAGGAAGGTTAATTAATCGGTTAAAAGTAAAAAAACCAACCCAAAAACCCAGACTTTTTAAAGTCAATCCAAGTGTAAAACTGAAAGATCAACAGACGATAGCAGCTAGCAGGGCACGCCCTCACAGTCAGCTGTTTACGTTAACAAGCTTGAAGTGAGCTAGAAGTTCCCGTTTTTACTCCATTTTACCAATCAGAGTTGTTTACATTTCAGACCATTCATGCTCAAAAAAAGGTCAAAATCTAGAAATAGTTTCGAACGAAAAACGTTGGAGCAAAGACTTTCCTCTAGTGGAGAACTTTTGGTTGAAGCAAAGGTGGCCATGAGGTAATGGTTCTAAAAATAATCTCACAGCTACACACTAGCAAGGTCCAAATTCCTTTATCTCGTCACCCAAGCTCACAACAAACCACACACACCTCCAAAGTAAATCAAAATAAAATATTTATAGTCGATTATAGTTGTTTATTTTTATCTTAAATGAAGCAGAAGACGTCAAACTTTCAATATATCCACACAAAAAACAAAAAAATTCATGGAAAGTCACTCTTTTGCCTTTTGAGCCTCGTAGCGGATAATAGTACAGTGCGTCTTACGACTGATACTGATATTGAGCGAAGAAGACAGATATATATTTATACAGTCAAACAGGAGTAACTCGAATTCGTCGGAGATTGGAAATAGTGTTCGAGATTTCTGTAATTCATCATGTCTGTGACAGCCCCAAATACCAAGAAATAGAGAGAAAATCAAGGGAGGTAATAAAGAACGTTAAATCAATTAACATGGTTAGCTTCCTTGGTGAAGGTACTGACGGTGTGAAAGCAAGAAGATGAATGAAAGTGGAAAGCAGAAAATCTCACGTGTGCACAGCTGACTCCTACATCATTCTTTTCCTCTCATTTCATTGGCTTATTACTGAAAGTTACGCCTCTTGCCATCTGCACCGGGTGTCCCACTGCATGATTGCACCCATGGCAAGCCAGTCATGCGGTGCAGTCAGCATCACTCCCCAACCCCCCTTCCCCGTCCCCCCTTCCTCCAGCCTCTCATGGTGAGACAAGGACCACGTTTTGGCTGTAACAATAGCAAAGAAACACCTACCCGCGGCCAGAAAGGCTGTAAAGTCAGGTCTTTAGTTGAGAATGCGAAGTGGATTTGTTCGAGATTCAAGTGTTGCGTGTCCTAAGTGTTTGGGAACTCCGTGAAGTCAATACAGTGGAATCCTGTTATAATGAGAGGGAGGGGACTGGTGCAAAATATCCGTTATAGCAGGATTCTCGTTATTAGGGATCCAGTAATAATTTCAATGGAAATAATAAAGTAGGCCTAATCTATAAGTTTGGTATATATATATATAATATATGCAGTTATTAGTACAAAATTAATGGGGGTTTTTAGTTTGATTTTTTTTCAAATCAATAGGTCTGTTTAACCCTTTGAACCCTAAATCTTGAAATTTCTCAAATCTCTATCCCTGGACATTTTTCGAAAACTTCATCAAATTTCATGAGGGCATATACAAAAAAAGACTGAGGGAAAGAACATGGAGAAATAAACTCACATGTGTTCACTCCTTTGTTTACCTTATTCCGAGGTGGAAACATTTTAATACGACGTACAAGAAATAAAGAGAGTACTTTTGACGGACTACACACCTCAGGGTAGTCCATGCCCCGGTGAACCGGCCTTATGGTATGCAGCAAAATATTGCCCAGGCCTGTTTACTGACCTTACGATAATGTTTTTAGAGATGAACAACCAGTTCTTACATTGCATTAGAGGTTAGGTTAATTAATCTGCAAACTTACTTTATGTTTGATTCTGCATCCATTTATTTCAGATACCTAAAGACTGTACCGACCTGAATCATGAGGTAGAGCTTGGCATTGTGATTGGGTCTCGTGCATCTTGTATCAGTGTGGAGGAAGCTTCACAAGCTATCGGAGGCTATGCCTTGGGATTAGACATGACTGCGAGAGACTGGCAGAATGAAGCAAAGAAAAAAGGTCACCCTTGGAGCATAGCCAAAGGATTCGACACCTCTTGTCCCATCAGTGCTTTTGTTGAAAAAGACAAGGTTGGCCCATAACTTCTAATGACTTTTTAGTGTAATAGTAAAGTATGCTAACATACTAACAATGTTCTCGTCATTTTGAAAAGTCTTGTCTTCTTTTTTAAGAAATAGTGCTTTTGCTTGTTATGTTTCTGTTCCTTGATTTTGAAGAGTCAGCCTCTACTGAAGTAGTAGAGAATGTTTGCAATGTCCGGCCCGTCTTACATTACAGGATTGTTCACCTCAGGACCAGTAAGCCTACTTGTCGTGAGACATTTTAGATGTGTGTAACAAGTGTTTCTGCATTTAATAAATGCTTGTCTCCAGCTGGCTGTTCATGGAAAAATGTCACCACTGCCAGTGTTCTGAAGTGGCCCAAGCCCATGTTTATATGGTAGTCATGTTTCTCTGCACTGTACCAGCAAGAGGCAAAGTTAGAATTGCTTTATAAAATTGGAACATTTGACATACCAAACCTCTCTGTAAAAGGTTTTCATTTCTTAAAGCAGTGGCTTTGAAAGTGTAATAAATAACACCTCACTAACCGATACTGCTTTGAAAAAGAAAAGGCAACATTTTGGTCTGACAAGAACCTAGAGCTGGCCTCTGTGTGTGTAGCAGTAAGGCACTTTGCAGGCACTCGCAGAAGGACCGAGATTGATTTCTGTGAAGCAGAGTTTTTAAGGAGTATCTTGGCCCTTCTGCTGGGGCCTTGCGTCCCTCTCAGTCTGGGCTGGCCCTGAAAGGCAAAGGCAAAGACTACCTCCAAAATTATCTAAATTTTGTTGATGTTGGCTTAAAAAAAACACCTCCATTAAAAAAAAATACTTTAAAGTCTAGAACTTCCAACTTTTTAAGAGAGACAAACTTTGACAAGTGTTATAGGGAAATTAATGGCTGAAGGGGGAAGAGATGGATTCTAAGTCATGGTCATATTGTTCGTGCTGGTTTCTTTTCAGATAAAAAATCCCAATGAGCTTGACATCTGGCTGACAGTGAATGGTGAGAAGAGGCAATCTGGCAACACCAGAGACATGATCTTCTCGGTGGAGTATTTGATAAGTTACATCAGCCAGTTCTTCACCCTGGAGCCTGGGGACCTCCTGCTGACCGGAACTCCCTCTGGGGTATCTCGTGTTCAGCCCGGGGATGTGCTCAAGGCTGGACTGGGAGATGTCGTCAGCATGCAATTCAAAGTTGAGGCTTGACCACAAGATTGACCAAATCCTTTGTTGTAGTGATATGAATATATTCATATTCTTTTATCATTTACTGTGATTACAATGGAAATAATAATATATCTAACGAGCAGTCTTCTTCATTTAAACTCTCAGAAACTAAAAGGTTTATGTTAATGTTATGAAAATGTCATAAAGTGAAAACAATTTTCATTTATCCTTAGCTTTTAAGCATAGTTTGATGTAGGTTGGGTTTTTTAAAACTTTTTTCTAACAGTCTTGGTTTTTCCTGGGTGTTTGTCAGAGGAGACGTAATTCTTGCAGTTACTACATACTCTGTAAAACTATTCATCAGTTAAGTTGTTTGAATAGTTTTCTGTGATGCTTACTGTTATATTTTATATCAGTGACATAGGCACCATGTCATGAAAGGGAATATTCTTATTTTTTATGGGAAAATGGTTCTTTCTGAACCTTCGTTCATTGGTACTAAAGGTAGTTGTACTTGAAGTGTATAAACAGTTAACAAAAATGAATTGTCAACTGAAAAGTTGTAGAGTGTTGACTATTTCTTTTTGTTTTTTCCTTTGTCAGCCGGGAAGTTTTGTTCATGTATTCAAGATCAGTATATAGTGACCAGACTTGTTCTATATCTATTACTATTGTTAAGCTGTCATGTTGATGATGTGCACATAAAATTGCAATGTAACATGAATTTGGGTGCACTACAATATCTTCAATGGAAAACCTGCTTTGAAAAAAAATTCTGTGAGGATTGAAATTCTACAAATGCGTTAATTTGTGTTTTTAGTCTTCTCTGTATTGGAGTTTCTCAAAGTCGCCGGGTATCTAAAATAAAATGAGCGAGAAAATAGCCGCCAAAATTGTGTGACTTCCAAAGCTTGAGAGTCCTTGGAAACTGCAAATTTTCTGTTTTTTGTGCCTTTGATCAACATTTTTCTGTAAAATGCACGCACAAATGGGTTTTTTAATGAACGCAAAAGGTGTTAAGCCTGAAAGAAACAATAAAACTACCAAACAGTTGGAAAAATATGTTTCTTTGATTTCGTTATTATTACGAGAGCCTGATCTTTCCACGATGCCGCACATTGTTCTAGTCACTGGGTTTGTTTACTTTTTTCTGTGATTTTATTTATCTAACCGCAATTGCATATTTGTTCTTTGAAGTTGTTTTTGTTTTGTTTTTGTTTTTAGGCTGCCACAGCTTTCTTTTTTCTTGATGATTGGTAAATGCTGAAGTCTTTGATCTATTGCTTCTGATTAATTAATTAAAACTGAGCTGAAGTTAAAATATAAAATTTATTTTCAAATTTTTCTTACCTATGTACTGAAAGTAATGTGGCGGAATGAAAAAAAAGAATTGAAAACAATCTTCAGTTTCATTTCCAGGTCTTGCTTAAATATGGTGTTTTATGTAATCGGATTGGTGTTTTTTGTTGTTTTTTTTGCTCATGTTTATCTTTAAGTGGAAGGGAGTACAATAAACTTGAATTCAAATCTTATACATGTGTACGTATAATGTAGGCTATATTATATATATATACCTACCTATAATTGCACAAAATTTTCAGTCTTTATTTCACTGCCCAGCCCAAGCCTAAATTGGTGTTTTCTACAGTGATACCAGTTCTTGCTAGTTCATAGAATGATAGAGTGTGGGTGTGTTTTTTTAACTATATCATTAGATGTGATAACACAGTGCCCCAAGTGCCTCTGACAAATTGAACACACGGAATTCTTTGCTGATCATCTGCATTCCAATATACTTTAGTGTTGAGTTATATCATAAGGTGACCTCCTTTCAATTTATACCCTGGAGTTCTCTTTTTTTTCTTTCCTTGCTCATTACCACAGTGCAAGTTGTCTGGGGCTTTATCAGTTCCTGCGTTTGTGTCCTCTACCCTTGTTTGTTATCTTTCTTTTTATTAAAATTTCTGGGGGGGGTTGATTCTTCTTCTTCTATCTCAAGCAGTTCAATATTGTTTCTTCAGCCCACAGTGCTACTCAATTTTGTTTATACAGACACTTCCTTCCAGAATGTTCTACTCCTCACCTTTTTGGTGTATAATATGATTACATATATGCAGAGATTTTTTTTTTGTTCTATAATTTTGCACTGAACCTAATTTCTTCAGAGAGGTTTTAAAAAAATACCCTGGTTGCTGGCTTGACCAGGCCTGCTTTACATCAACTTTCAATGGTCAAAATGTCTTTAAAATGCATCCAGAATGTCAGTTTTTCTTTCCTTATAATGCGAGGAGACTAATTTCTTTATCTGGGGTGTCGGGGATGCTCTCTAGACTAGCAAGCCCTTTAGGCTAGCAATGAACTTCTTCCCAACACTATAGGTACAAGTACAAGAACATCATCGCACAGCTGTACTTTGCTTTCAACATAAACCGTGAGAAGAATAGGTGCTTCTACTTCAATTGGATGCCACTGGTAGCTGCTGCTACCCTGTCCGTAGCATGTTTTAACTAATTTTTTTTTTCCAGTAGTAAAGTGTAAAGGGTTTTTATCATGTTAATATAATCCTTCTCTTCTACTTAAACTTTAAGTTCTTTTTTTCACGCAACTGTCACCATTACCCTTTTACTTTTAGTATGAAATAATCACGTGTGTCAATAGCTTTATAAAACTATAAACTATGATGACTTTATCTCCGTGCCATGTGGAGTTCTTCAAATTACTGTATATAAACAGAATTACTGTTGTTTTTGTGGTGGAAATACTTCCAGTCGGGCACAGATAACACAAAAACACAGAAAACTGGAAAGTAGGAATAGTTCGTACAATTTGCCATTCCTAGGTCTCTGTAAGTTTTTGTTATCGGTTAATAAAACTCTAATGGATGAGTTGACACATTTGCCAATTCTCTACGTGTTTGAGTTTGCCCTGCCTGACTGTATGTTCAATTCTAGCCTAGGCATGTTACTATTGTTACAAAGTTCGCATCGACTTGTCTGGTTGTTGAGGTAATATTAAAACGTGAAAATAAAATGAATATTTTTGTTTTTCCCTTTCTTGATCGTTCCTGCTAATTTGTTCCTGCTATCTTCCTATTCCACGGGTGTTTGGAGGGCACCACTGGTAGACCCTACTCCTTTTCTTTCCCGTTGTTGTTTCTGCCTGTCTGTCTTACTCTTACTTTTCCCCAGCACTAAATGACCATTATTGTGTCGATGTGCTTCTTTTTATTCAAACGCTTCCGTTTTCCAGCTCAGCTTTCTCAAAAATTATTTTTTCCCTGGGTTCTCCAACTAGGACTCAGCAGTGGCAACTGACTCGGTGACTGCAGTTTTATTCAACCCACTGCACAGCTCACCTACAGCCAGTAGCTGTTCGTCTTACCATAATTTATAATGTTTAGAATATCTTGGGGTTTTTTCAGGCCGCCGATTTCTCAGACACCAATCGAAATCCTCATTTCACACCCTTTTATTACGCTTATCGTACTCTTTTGCAGCTGTACTTGTTTGATCGGTTCAAATTTCAGCTCAGATTATGTTGTCCGGATGATCAAGCATAATTCCTCTAAAATTTGATGCAGATCCCCGAGAAATTGGAGCTTTTATTTTTTAGTTGTTTTTCTCGCTGTCATCGAGTCCTCAACAGTAGGCAGGCTTCCTTGTGTGTTACTTGTGTACTCTGTTTTGGGTGTGGGCCGGTCCGGAACTTGTCAGGTCTTCTTTGGTTTTCAGCTGCCAAGATGTCACACACCTTTTTCTTCTTAAAAAAAAAAAAGCAACACACAATATGGTACAATCAGTCAGTTTTTCTCACCCAAGAAGACTAGGTGAAAAAGTTCCTGCCATCAATTCTGTCGTTGGGGGGGGGGGGGGGGGGGGGGGGGGGGGGGGGGGGCGGTCAATCGCCCCACTCGTCGCCTAGTTTCCGAGTGGGGCAATGGGCCCGACCCGCCAATCCCATCCGTAATGGGCACCCTGAATTAGTCTAGTAATAATCAATTTTATTCACATTGTCTATCGATTAAAAAAAATAATAAAAAAATAAAGAGAACCGTATAGAATCTATACAACGATTTATAATGGTCATGGACGGACAAATAGTCGTACACTGTAACACTAGCAGACACGTGGATCTAATTATTTTATAATTATACCCAGCGCACACCAATACGTGGTGCCCATTGCGGATGAGATCGGGTCGGGTCGCGGGTGATCGCCCCACTCGTTTGAATTGAAGGTCACTCTGATTGTGATTATGAGACTGACGCGCTACCATGGGAGCGAACGATGAGCCTGCAAGATGGTGCTACGGCCAGCTGCCGCCGAGGGATGTCTGTCTATCAACTGACAAACCAAGACGACAGCTACAGAACATCATGTCGACCCACCTGGAAGACCAGGACCTCAACAAAGCTCGGGTTTTTCCTTGGCTGCCAGCATAACCCGGTCTGGCTGGCCCGCTTGCGGAACTCGTCTGCTGCGACATTTCAGTGACCCACTTTCTGCCCTTTTCAAGGTCCCCAGAGCAAGTGTAGAGTTCCTGCATGCTGTTGGCATTGCTGACTGTTTATGATGCCACAGAGCCAGAAGAGAGAGAGAGATTGAAGGTCTCTACCAAATTCAGTGAAATTGTGTCAAAATGGTAGCTCTTGCCCCACCATGAAAGAAAATCTGGGTGGTTCCCATTCAATCAAATGAATTTGATTGGCTTGGCAGTGTGCATCTAGTATTGTTAATGTTGGAAAGGAGTGCAGAGTCACTGTAATCTGTGACTGTAATAATTATATCTTTAACTGCTGGCTGTATTTTCTCCAGCTCAAGTGCCTAATCATTACTGCTCTATGTGATTTGGCTCTCAACAAATGAAAAGGTCATCGAAACATCATAACTGTTCAAATAGTCTAGTGATTAGTATCTTGTGGAATAAATTTTATTTCGCTGCACTGTTTAAAACTTTCTTTTTTAACTAAACCAGTTTTTGTTAGTTGCAACTGTAGTAGAAAATGGGACATATTCGCTTTATATATAGGGAGGGAAAGAATTGCCGACGAACATTTGCCGACCACAAGAAAAGTCACATGACTTGAGGAAAGAACTTGATTGACACACAAAGGATGTTGCGATTTGCCAGCAAAGGTCTGCCTCTTTTGTCACGTCACTTTTGGAGGTAAAATCGTGTTTTGTGACAAAAGAAGTTGACTTTGGTATGGTGCCTCACTTTTCTAGAGATGTGATGGTTCTTGTTTTGGCCAAACTTCAAAAAGAATGTTTTGTCTTCAATTGTTTCTATGGTAATACGACTTACGATTTGATCGAATTTCAAAACCAGATTTATTCCTATTTTATATTTTGGATTTTCCTTGTCGTTATAAGAAAAGACCATACAAATAGCATTAAATAAATTTTTAATGACAAGAATGTTTGCTTTGTTGATCTTCTGCCACACAAATGACATAAATGCAGTTATGAAACTCCAGAGTCTGTTTTTGTTGTCTGGTACTTCTGAAATGATTCTTGTTTTCCACCTCTGTTTTATTTCAGTGAACATGCTGCAGAGTTGAACAATCCTGTACCAACCAAGCCCATTCTGTTTCTCAAACCCACTTCATCATATGTAGCAGAGGGGTCTCCCATCAAGGTAATTTGACCTGCTTCTACACTCAGAGGAAGGACCAGTTAACAGTGGTTGTATAAATATATATGTGTCCATGTCGGTCAATATCAGTCATCTGAAGGAAATTTCAAAACTGAGTTAACATAATTTTTAAAAACTATCACCTTTTCCCTACAATTTAAACTAAAAACAAAGTAATACTAATTAATGAGCATATTTGACGAAAATACAGAACTTTTAATAGTGCGAGGTGAGGAAACACGAAAAGGAGAAAATGGCTTCCGAAGTTGAGCAACCTGTTTCCATAGCAATGGGGGTCGTA